ACAAACAAAGATTTTTAACTCAAACCGTTGCAGTCTGTCAGTCTTATAATGGAAGTGAATGGGAATCATGTCTTTGAGAGTAAAAAAAAACATACACAAACAAAACCAAATTAAACCCTGCGGCTCGTGATGATACATTGATGTGTAAATACACGAAACGATCGGTCTGTGCAAGAAACTGAACAGTATTTATATAATTTTTTTACCTCTGATTCACCGCAATGTCTGAACCGTCCTGAGCGCGTTTGCGTCTTCTTCTTCAGCCGGCGCATGATGCGTCTTCTTCTTCTTCTTGCTTTACGGCTGATCGTTTCGTGTCTTTACACATCAATGTATCGTCACGAACCACAGGGTTTAATTTGGTTTTGTTTGTGTATGTTTTTTTTGACTCTCGAAGCCGTGATTCCTATTCACCTCCATTATAACACTGACAGACTGCAACGGTTTGAGTAAAAAAATCTTCGTTTGTGTTCTACTGAAGAAACAAAGTCACCTACATCTTGGATGCCCTGGGGGTAAAGACTTTGCTAATAAGTTTAGTACATGGCTCAGGCCAGCAGAAGATCCATGAAAGAGACTCTGTGGAATGGATGTGAGGGAAAGGTCTGCAGATGATTAACCACCAAGCTAAATCAGTAACATCTCATTTAGAGAAATTAAGTTATGCTGTTACTCTCTTGCTGTGTCCATCACAATTGATAATGTTGTTAACATAGATAGCAGAAGCTGGCATGATGTCAGTAGCGTGATTTACCCTGCAAGAGTCCAGCCTTTCGCTCCTCAGGATGGATGAAGAGCTTTGCGATTCAGGCTCATAATAAGAGGAGCCGCTCACTTCTTCTATTATCTAGAAATAAGATAATAAAACATGTCAGGTTATTTACAGGTTAAAGTAGTCATGAAATAAAAATTCACAATTTTTCACATTTTCACATTTTTTAAATGCATGTTATAGATCTTATTGTAAACAATAACATATTTGTGCATATGTTTGATTTTTAAAAATGTTTTGAGCTCATGTTCATCTGCCTCCATTTTTGAGTGTAATTACAAACAATGCATAGAAGCAAGTCTCCGTACATTTTGTCTTTTTTAATAATCATTACAGTAATGTACAACACAATAAGGTCGCTACTTCCATTTAATCACAACATTAAAGGTATAGTTTACCCAAAAATGAAAATTTTGTCATAATTTACTCACCCTCACGTTGTTCCAAACCTGTATGAATTTTCTTTATGACTTTCTCCATTGTATTTTTTTCCATACTATTGAAGTCAATGGCTACCGTCAACTGTTTGGTTACTATCATTCTTCAAAATATCTTCTTTTGTGATCAGCAGAGGAAAGAAAGTCATACAGGTTTGGAACAACTTTAGGGTGAGTAAATGATGACAAATTTTTCATTTTAGGGTGAACTATCCCTTTAAGTTAATGGTGTCAGTGGTCACAGACTCACAGTTTAATTCGTGGATCTTTTATGTCAGATAGAACTGACCAGACTAACCTACAACTTAGATAAGATTCCTAAAAGTTTCGCACCTACAGCACACATTACAGACACTGATGCACAAACGCGGATATGTTCTACATGTGTTTCAAAGTTCATTACTGATTGAAATTTGTTTTAGTGTTTGCTCTCCATTTGTTTTTATATATATAATGTTATATTTGAATATTTTGCTTTAACTGATCTTCAGTAAAAACCTTTATTTACATTTATTTGTTATCTGTTTTGTTATATTTTAAGAAACCCCTATTAGATTACATGTGGGCCTCCATGCTCATATATTGTACAATAAATTATATTAGTGGAGGGGTGTGGGGGCCCACATCAATATTTTTTCAGGGGGCCCCGAATCCTCTAGCTACGGCCCTGAACCTGTCTTATAAACTCCTTGAGTGCGCTTAAACAACTTAAAATATGATCTGCATGCAGAATAAACCGTGCTAAAATTCAGGTTTTTCCATGTTTTAATAAAAATCCACGGCTTTTTAATAAAACAATTCATAAGCATATCTCCAGTAGCCTATGTTTTGTTTGTTATAAAGAAATTTTACGGCTCCCTTAAATCCTCCGTGATACACACGCAGTGCAACTCACTCGTCAGAATCCTCGGCAAACTTCGACAGTTGGTTAAACCAGCTCGTTCGGTTCTTTTTGAGTCCTCGGTAATACTCTGCAAACTTCGACAGTTGGTTAAACCGGCTCATTCGGTTCTTTTTGAGTCGGACGTGCTTCTTCGGCTATGCGTCCTGCGTCATCAACCCGGAACTAAAGTTCGATTCAGTTAGCTTAAACAACTTAAAATATGATCTGCATGCACAATAAACTGTGCTAAAATTCAGATTTTTCCATGTTTTAATAAAAATCCAGGGCTTTTTAATAAAACGATTCATAAGCATATCTCCAGTAGCCTATGTTTTGTTTGTTATAAAGAAACTTTACGTATCAGGCTCGTTCAAGTCCTCGGTGATACACACGCAGTGCAACTCACTCGTCAGAATCCTCGGCAAACTTCGAC